AAAGTCAGTCACATAGTCACTGAATAAAGGACAACACCAAACCACATACTGCAACAATCCCAAAGAGGAGTTCTTCTCAAGAGTGAAATGCTAGCGGAATTAGTTTCCACAGACACTGTGGAGGGAAAATCTGATTTAATATAGGAGGAAATGAAAAAGTGCATTTCAGGTTAATTCTTTATTATTATCATCATCATTATGTATACCTACCCTACATCCAAAAATAATCTGAGGCTATTTATCAAAAAAAAAGACACAAATAACATACTATTAAAAAGTATAAAGTATTAAAAGTCACATAATAAATAAAAGCAGTGATAACTATACCAGATTTCTAGCCTAAGAATGGTCACTACAATTAGGCATTAAATTTAGATTAAAACTTCCTGGCAGTGAAAATGTTAACAGCAGCTCATACAGTTCTTACTATCTGATAATCTGAAACATACCAGCTAATCATAAGAGAAAATTATTTTTCTACCAATTCCTTATATAAAGGATGCATCTGATTTCATGTTCTATACAATACCTAGCATGCTGCTGTTCAAATGTTAAACAAGCATTCCAATCAACCATCTATCTAAATGACCTAAAAGTTATGCCTAGATGATTAGAAAGAAGGTTGACTACTTTTTTCTACACACACACACCCCCTACACAGTCCGAGGGAAAGCTGTTAAATGCCTCTCCTGTCTACCCTCCACCCTCTCCACCACCCCAACTCTGCAGGGAGGGGAAAAAGCTCATTGCGATAGTACATTAACAGAGTATATTTTTGAAAGATTACAATCCAAACAGTTAAAATTCAGAAAAGAATACCTTACAAGACTATATAAAAGACAAGCAGAAGATACACTGAAATCATACTAACAAGACCACTATGGTCTCAAGCAAAGTCACATAACCCCACAGATTCAGGCACATAAGAAGCTCAGTAAAGGTCTCTGGAATGAATGCGCTCAGTGATGGGAATATTGACATAAGAACAACTTCTCTCCAAAAGGACGAATTCAAAGGTCCCACAAAGGAGGCAACAGGAACAACTATGAGGAGAAAGGAAGAGAACGTGAGCATCCCCTTCTGTTGTTTTTCCCATAAGGAAACCAGAAAGAAGTACAACTGCACACAAAGAGTTATTTCCCTGCATCTTAGGAATGAGAAATGAAGAACGGCCCTGAGTAACAAAGGAGTGGGAAAAATGTTCGGCCACAAGACGGGCTACCTCAAAATCAGCCAGAAAGAATTATAATCCTACCAGGGACACAAGCTACACCCAGCATAAACAGAGAACTAAAATAATGTCACCTGACTGTAAAGAACTGGCTATTTTAGGGAGAAAGCCTAAAAACTACAAAAAGGGAAAAATGCGGATAAGCAGGATGTATAAATACGTCTCAAAGAGCAAGCAAGAGCAGCCCCACTCTTTTGAGAGGGAAAATCTGACCTTGAGTAGAGGTTGCTGTGTACACATCAACATTCTGAATCCACTCAATGATGAGATGGAGAAACTCAACATTTCCCTGGTACAGGGTAAGTCAAGACTTCAAGTAGACAAGGGAAGAGATGATCCATGGGTCACCCAGCCTTGTCCAAAAGGCTTGGGGAAGGAGACAGAGGGAAGGAGAGGAGAGTGACGTCTAGCAGAGAGATGTAAAAAGAAGAGTAGTTAAGAGAACTCATCTAGCCTCACTACAAGAGAACACTGGGCACTGGAAGAGTAAGAGGGAAAAGCTGATCTCCAGTAACCTATGGGGACAGGTGACACAGAAAGCACAACCGTACTAAACTCGAAGAAAGGAACCTAACCTTACACACTAACCTCAAGTGTGTTCCTCCAACTTGTACCCTTTTCCTTCCACTGCCCACTGTATGGAGCACCCCGGTTAGCAGGGGAAACACCAAAAGGCAGTGGGTGGTGTGGAGAAGGGCAGGAAAGGATCCACCCCTGGAAGTGAGATGACTCTGCTGGGCACACTCCAACACACACAGCAGGTATTCAACTCTTGTTTTCCAAGGGTCATTAACACTACACCCTAAAAATACAAATTGCATCAAACTGGGTATAGATACAGACAGACTAAAAACAACAGAAAAAAATTTAAAAACCAAAAAAGAGGAAAATGAGGTCAAAAGCGCTACTTTCAGTCAACGAGTCTTATGCCCCCGACTGGACAACTCCACATTAACAGAAGGGCAAAGTCCCAAAGTCGAAGCCTAATGTGACCAATCCTCCAGATAACCCTGTCTCCTTACTCGGTAATCCAGGTGGAGAGAGTGTCCTTGCTAGAAAACTGCTTAAAGGTCCAAAAGCTCGGAGTCTCACAGAGCTTGTTGGGGAGGATGAGGCTCCAAGCGAAGCCTGTCAAAAAGTAAGACTCTGTTGCTCAGTGACAGCAGCTGGCAACCATTCTAAGCCTACTGAGAGACGGAACTGAGGGGACCAGAGGAGGCCCAAATCATTCCCCCACCCCAGAGCCAAGGGGAAACACCAAATACACAAACTGTGACACTCAGGAAAACCTGGAGAATAATCCCTCCCACTCTTTCGTGAAGTGTCACAGGCCTTTCCAAAGGTACCTTTTCCTAACGTACCCAACCTCTCTCAATTATTTAAACGGCCAAAATAAAACAGCGACATATTTATGGCCATTCATTCCTAGTTGTCACAGAAACACATATTCTTCTCACCCACTCCTATTGTTTGCCCAAAATACATGAGATGTCTTTCCCCTACACGGCAATAAAGAAATCAAGACAAGAACTTTAAACTCTAGGAAGAATCAAGCAGAGAATACAGCCCCTAAATTCAGAATGCCTAAGTTTTGATGTGCATCGGCAAGCACTCTACACTTCGTGTATTCAGGGACTTGGAACATTCAGGATGTCATTCTGCTTATTCAGTACAGTACAAATGACAAATGAAAGAGTGGTAAGAATTGGCCATTTATCAATGAGTCTTCTGATTCTTCTAAGCCTGAAGAGTTACCAACAACAGTAATACCTATCTTTATTCTTACACTTCAAGGTCCCCACATACACCCAAAATGTATAGATGGTCATCTAACCCTTCCAACTTTCTGTATATATATAATGAATCTGGTTTCATCTACAAATATATGCCTATATGTGTGTATATGTAAACAAATGTACACCATCATGATAATCTTTTTCACCAAAAGAGAACTAGAACAGCAAAAAATAGAAAGCATCCAAATTTCCCCTTCACCTGAAAGCTGCAAGATTGAAAGAAATGTTTGGATCCCACCAGACACAACACGAGGGCCAAAGGAAGGTTCTAGTACAACAAGGAGCACATTGGCAACCTCTTCCCGAATGGCACGTGGGCGACATGGGTGTCTACACTCCCTTTTCTGGATGGAAAGGCATATGGCTTCTTCTTACCCAGCCAACAGGAACACAATTTAAGAAAATTAGAAAAAGTCAAGGTAACAGGCTCACTAAATATGGCTGACTGGGAAACAGAAACCATAAGGAGGATACGAGTTCTCTTAAAAAAGAAATGGGAAGTTTATTTCCAGGGACGATTCAAAGACTCTTGAATGTAGCATGTACAAAGACTGGTTCTTAGTGCACAGAAGACAGTAATCAGAACACCAAAAAACAAGGGCACATGACCCTCCTCCTGGTGGGGCAGCGTCAACTGGTGAATGCTGCCCCCACCTAAGAGGCCAAAGAAAACTGGAAGCAAAATTATACCCTGGTTTTCCTCAGCCATAGGAGTAATTACCGTGGCCCCTTCTTACCCAAATACTAGGCACAATAGAAACCTTGCCCTACATCTGATGGGGCACCCACCCTCCACTAAACAAGGAACTCTAAGGAAAGAGAACACGTTAGAGTAGCTAGACAAATGGGGAAACGCGCCCGGGAATGTCCAGTTTCTCCCATAGGAAAAAAAGGGCAACTCAAAGGGTGTTCAGGAAATGAGCTCACCCTAACCCAGGAAAGTGTGCCTAATCTGTAAGAAGTATCTGCTTTCCTATTTAGAATGACTTCAGAGCTGCACAGGCCCCCACTATCCACTGGGTGAGGGAAGAACATGGGTAGCCCGAGTCCCCTTGTCCTGGCAAAAGGGTCAATAAATGGAGTGCGGAGGCCCCAAAAGACTCCACAGAAGATGAAAGAATGAGACGGACCCCTTGGCCAAAGAAGGATCAGGGTCACAGAAGGTAAAGGGCAAGGGAGTGTGGAGACCCCACCCTCCTGGCTGCGAGAGGGGCAAGGGCAAGCAAGAGTCGGAGGAGAACGACTGCCAGGGGCGGGGATGTTGCGCAGGCCCCCTCCCAGGAAAGGGAGGGGGAGGGGTCACACGAGGCCCTTCTGCCCGGGGACGTTCAGCAGGAGGGGGTCCCCCTGGTGGGGAGAAGCGCGGGGACCCCCGCCGGCGCTGGGAGGCGCCCACGGGGCTCGAGGCTGATGCTGGACTGAGTCCGCCTGGCCCTGCCACCCGAGAGACAGGGGCGGCGAGGATGAGCGCCGGCCGTGCCCCGACGGGGACCGGCCCGGGGCAGTGGGGCGCGGGGCCGGTGGGGGCCTGAGGCGGATAAACTTTCCGCCCCGCGGCCCCCCTGGGCCCGGCGCTGGGGGCCGGGGGCGGGGGCCGCGCCGGGCCCGGGAGCGGCGGGGATGCCCGGTCCGGGTGGGGGAGGCGCCGGCCCTCCCTCCGCCGGCTCCTCCTCCTCGCTGGGCCCGGCCCCCGCCCGCCGGCCCCCGCCCCGCCGGCCCCAGACCGCCCCCGGGTGGGGGTGCGCGGCGCCGCGCTCCGCCGCCCCGCGAGTCACCTCAGGACCCGGCCGCGCTCCGCCCCTCCACCCGCCGCCCCCTCCCCGGCCCGGGGCGCCCGCCCGCCGCCGCCGCCGCCGCCACCACCGCCGCGCCCCCGCGCTCCCGCCCGGCGCCGCTGATGCCCGGGATGTCCGGCGGGGCCGGGTCCCGCCGCCCGCCGCGCCGCCCCCGGCCCCTCACGCTCCGGCTCTTACCTTCCGGCTTGTTTTCGGCAGCCATTTCCCCTCCGCGCGCCACATCCTCCTCCTCCTCGCGACCGGGACCCCGAGCGCGCGCCTCGTACCGCCGCCGCCGCCGGCCCAGCCACCCCGCCGCCGCCGCGCACCCTCCCTGGCCCCGCCCCGCGGCCCACGCACTGCGCCCGTTGGGCCGCGCGGCTGCCACTCATCGCTCCCGCCACCAATAGCCCCGCACCAGGGGTCTCACTACTCTCCGGGAGGAGCGTCCTATCCATCCGGCCCATTGGCTGGTCACCACCCAACGGAATGAAAGGATTGGTCAAGAATCAACGCCCCCTCCCCACCCACTCCCAGGAAAGCCCGCCTTCCAGACCTAAACAAAGCTTCCCAGTGGCCAGGGCCCGAAAGACCTGTCCAATCAGGAAGGGGCCGACACGGAATATTTCCTCGAGGCCGAGATGTGGCGTCTTGATTGGGCGTTACTACAGTGTTTCCCAGGCCGTCCAGACCAATCAAAGGGGGTTCCCGGAACTCGGGAGCGGCGAAGGGAAGCCCCGCCCCCGAGCGTGACCGTCATGAGGAAGGCGCTCGCTCATTGGCACGCTGGGGCTTTTCCCGCGTGCTCCCGGGGCTGAAGGACGTTCCCGGGGAAGCCGCTGCCGGCGCGTGGGGTCCCGGTGGCAGTGGAGGACGCGGCGGGATCTCCGAGATCCCGCAGCCTGCCGCTGCCGAGGGATGGCGGGGGCCGGGGGCCTCGGGCTGAGGTCGGCCGGGCGCCGCGCTCCGGAGGCTGTCGGCCCTGGAGTCCGGGCGTCGCTGCCGGCCGTGGGGGAGGGGCGCGCCTCCCTCCAGGCCCCGCCCCTGCCCCTGCCCGCCCGCCGGTCACTGGCGGCCCGCGTCGCGCGGCCCCACGCGCGGGTGCCCGGACCGCCCGTGCCCGCCTTCCGCTCCCCGCCCCCGACGTGCTCCGTTGTCCCCTTTTCTAGCGGCTTAAAATACTGAAACTTTATTTTGGTCACGTTGGCCATGTGACCCACAGAGCCGATGACTCATAAATGCCCGTCCCAGGATGAGGCGGCTGAACAAAATCTTAGAGAAACGTTCAAGCTCGGCGCGGCTGCTCGAAGGGCGAAGCGAGCCAAGTTCCCTTCAATCCTGGGCTCACATTTCGTGGCTTTTCCGAACAAATATTCCAGCGTCCACTGACTCACTCTCCGTGCGAGGTGTCAGTCGGGGAGAGAGAGCCTAGAAACAGGTTAGGACCCGTCCTATGGGGGGCAGACACCGCTGCAGCTTTTCTGGAAATCCGTCCACACCTAGTGGACCAGTACACGCTGTGCAGAGAAGCCTGAAGAGAGATGAAATGGCAAAGACGAAAATGCCCCCTTCCAGAGAAATTCAGGCATTGTGCACGTGGGCAAGTAATATCGGAAACAAAGGAGAGGGCTGAAATCTCAAAGTTTAAAAAAAGGAAGAAAAGTTGAAAGAGAAGCCGAGCTCCAAGCCCTCCATGTGGATATTGTGTGGTTTGCAGTGAGGACATTTCATTCCTCTACATTTTATTTTTCCCTTTGCTACTGTTGATGACGACTAGCAGAATCAGCGAAAGATCCTCGTTCGAGTATTTTGGCATTGAGATGGACTGCCAACGTGAACTTTGTGCCAATCCTAACAACATGGGTTTTTTTTCCTGGTCTTCACAAGTAAAAATTTATTAAGTTTTGCAGAAATAAAGATGTCTCAAAAGACTGATTTGTATTATACACTCATTCTTCAACAAACTTTAATTTTATGAGCCTCAAAAACATGCAAAATTTTAACAACTAGAGTGCAATATTTTATCGATTAGCATTCTTAATAGTACCTATGTTGACGATTTGAGTAGTGAAACATGTTCTTAAAAGTACTGGTGGCATTGAAAGTTGGTATAACCCTTTTGAAAAGCAATTTTACAGTACATATTAAAAGCCATAAAAAATGTCTGCATCTTTTGACCCAATAATCTTACTTCTGGGAATCTATTCTAAGGAAATAGCACTAAATGCCAAAAAAGCTATATGTGTGAAAGTATTCTTCACAGGATCACTGTATCTATTACAACAAAAAATTGGGAGCATCCTAAACGTGCTAATGTTGGATATTTAGTAAGTAAATTGTGTTATATCCACAAAATGGAACATTATGGTAGTCACAGACATCAGAAAGAGAAAGAAAAGCTTATCATTGCTGGGTGGGGAAAAATAGTATTCAAAATTATGGTGTTGGTTTATTATATATGATGTGATTCAAGGTCAAAAAAACTGCAGTTTGTAAAAAGACATACAAAACACACCCAAGAAATTACATCTGGGCGATTATGGGTGGTTTTTCTTATTGTCTCCATTTTCCAGAATACAGTCATAATATAACTATATAGCTTTTATAATTAAAAATGTATTTAAATTAAAAAATAATTTTATACAGTGTTTGCTAGACACCAGACACTGTGTTAGATGCTGAAGGTGTAAAAGTGAATAAAGTTGAGCATCTCCCTCCAAGGGGCTCACAGCCTAGCAGGAGTGAACAGGTCAAGGTGCAGTGGGGGAGACAGAAGGTAATGAGTATCACCTGAACCTCAAGAATGCATCACCATCACCATTGAAATCACCTATGGGAAGCAGTTTAGATTCTGGCTAGAATGGCAGTTCTCAAAGTGCAGCCTGGGGGCCGGGGGGAGTGGGGGTCCTTAAAACTCTTTCTGTGGATCCACAAGGTCAAAACTATCTTCCTAATAATGCTATGTCAGTCTCTTAGGAGTGTACAGTGGAGTTTTCCAGAGGCTACATAATATATGATATCAAAACAGACTGAAAGCAGAAGCAGATAGGAGAATGCAGCTGTTGTCTATTAAGTGAGATATTAAAGAGATTTGCAGAACTGCAAGACGATGCCGCCCTTATCACTATTTCGTTTTGGAAAATTTAGTTATTTATCATAAAAAGTGTGATGTATGTTAACATGTAGTGGGTTTATTATTTTTAAATGGACTAGTCAATATTTTTTAAATTTCTAAGCAGTACACAAACTATAGATAAACAAATCACATAAAAAAAAGCTCTTTGGGGTCCTCAGTAATTTTTAAGAGTGCAAAGGGATCCTGAGACCAATGAGTTTGAGAACCACTGGTCTAGAGGGTGAGATGTCTTAGGGGGTTGGTTGGCTGTGTCTTAGTCACTTCGGGCTATAACAAAGTACCATGGACTGGGTGGCTTCTAACAACATAAATTTATTTCCCACAGTTCTGGAGGCTAGAATTCTGAGATCAGGGTGCATCCTCACATTGCAGAAAGCAGAGAGGAGAAGTAAGCTCTCTCATGATTCTTAAAAGAACACTAACACTGCCATGGGGTCCCACCTTCGTGACTCATCTAATCCTAATCACCCCTCAATGGCTCCACCTGCTAATACCATCACGTGGGGAGTAGGGTTTCAACTTATGGATTGAGGGGACACAAATGTTCAGCCCATAACAGCTGGTGTTTGTCTTTGCTTGGGAGGGTAACCAAGAGGTGGGCATGTCTGGTAAGGAAAGCAGCTCGGGTTGCTAAATAAGCTCATTTAGAAATGAAAGGAGTCAGAAGATGTGCTAGACACCCCACCCTCCAAATCCTTGCCCATTTTGACCCTAATGTTCTTCAAGGAAAATATGCTACTGTCCATAAACAGACAGAGATAGGTAAATAATGGGAATATTAAGTTGTTACTTTTTGTGTATGTGTGTGTGTGTGTGTGTGAGGAAGATTGGCCCATTGCTAACATCTGTTGCCAATCTTTCTCTTTTTGCATGAGGAAGATTTTCCCTGCGCTAACATCTGTGCCAATCTTCTTCCACTTTGTATATGGGATGCCACCACAGAATGGTGTGATGAGCAGCGTGTAGGTCCACGCCCGGGATCCAAACCAGTGAACCGCGGGACACCAAAATGGAATGTGGGAACTTAACCACTACGCCAACAGGCTGGCCCCAAATTGTTACTTTTTTATCTCAAAAAAGAGCATTCTTTCCTGGTCAGTTTTCAGAAGTAATTAAAGTGCCTGTTTATTATTACTGGTGATGACAATAATAAAAGTGTTTGGAATTTCTTCCTTAAACTGGAAGTTACTGAAGCTCCATATTACTGGGTTGATAGAGGAAAGCATGGGCTGAACCCATTTCAGAGGCTTAAAAACTTCTAAAAGGGGAACTGGTGATACTACACTCACTTGCACCCAACATTGGACAAGAAAAAAAAGATTGTTCTATCTACGCTTTCCTTAGCTTTGAAAGGACTGCGTTGTTACAAGTAATGATATCCAAAAATTTTGCTTCCAAATAGTTACTCTTCTTGCCTTTTCTTTAATTAATTTTTTTATTTTGAGATAATTGTAGATTCACATGCAGTTGTAAGAAATAATACAGAGAGATCCCATATCCCCTTGCCTTTTCAGGATAAAACATAATGAAAGGAACCAGTCAAGGATGCCCACTTTCACCACTCTTATTTAACATAGTATTGGAAGTCCTAGCCAGAGCAATCAGGCAAGAAAAAGAAATAAAACGGATCCAAATTGGAAAAGAAGAAGTGAAACTGTCACTATGTGCAGATGACATTATTTTATATATAGAAAACCCTAAAAGAATCCACTAAAAAACTTTTAGAAATAATAAATTAACACAGTCGTCACAGGATACAAAATCAACATACAAAAATCAGTTGTGTTTCTATACACTAACAACGAAGTAACGGAAAGAGAAATTAAGAATACAATCCCATTTACAATTGCAAAAAAAAAAGAATAAAATACCTAGGAATAAACTTAACCAAAGAGGTGAAAGATCTGTACACCGGAAACTATAAAACGCTGTTGAAAGAAATTGAAGAAGATACAAAAAAATGGAAAGATATTCCATGTTCTCAGATTGAAAGAATGAACATAGTTAAAATGTCCATACTTCCTAAAGCAATCTGCAGATTCAATGCAATCCCTATCAAAGTTCCGACAACATTTTTCACAGAAATAGAACAAAGAATCCTAAAATGTATATGGAACAACAAAAGACCCCGAATAGCCAAAGGAATCTTGAGGAAAAAGAACAAAGCTGCAGGTATCACACTCCCTGGTTTCAAAATATACTACAAAGCTATAGC